CAAAAATGGGATCGATACACACCATTTATTTGTGGATTTCAAATCCGCTTAGACGAATAGAAGTGATATTTATACCGCGATGACTAAATTTCGTATTCCCGCCTAACTAATATAGCTGTGTAAAATGACGTTGAGCAATACCACCAGCTCAGTCAGAATTGGGAAGGACCTCTCTGCGCCGTTTCCTACCAAACGGGGTTTCCGACAAGGCGACGTGATTTCTTTAATCTGTTGTTGGAGGACATAATAAGAGATGGATAAGTGAACCGCTCAAGAATAATTTTCTACAAGAGCATGCAATTGCTGGCGTATGCCGACGACGGTAACATGACATATCGCTAGCTTAGAATGAAAAGTTGCTAAGTCCACTTTTTATGAAAACTCATATTTTGATATAAGAGGCTAGAGAAACTTAGTACGCATCGTTTCGAAAATTATAAAGGTACTTATTTTATTTTTTCCTCTTCATAAGCAATAAAAGGAAAATTTGCTAAGTCCAAAAGAAGCACCACAAATTCGATAAGGCCAAAATAATACGACATCTTTTAATAAATATCGAAACCTTCTCATTCTTATGGAGTTTTGCTTTGCTTTAAACGCGCAAAATGTTTGATTCAAAGTCTTGCGAAATTGTTAAAGAAAATGGCCATAGGAAGATTTTTCCTCTCCTGTAAAATTTTTAAAATGGGACTTAGCAACTTTTCTTTCTAAGCTAGCGATATGTAACTCCAAGTGGCATAACTCCAATTTTGAAATTTGGAATTGTCACTCCTTATGCACTGACATAAAGCCAATTTTTATACTTGGGGTTATTTCACTTCTTATAAGGTGGGATAATGACGATGTTGAGCCTAAAGCGTATATTCCAGCTCTCACGAAAAACAAACAAAAAAAAAACTTAAAACACGCTCAAGAAATGAAAAATAAATTTTCTATAAAAATCTTTTTTTACGCAAAAATACTTCCACCACTCTTTTCCGGCAACACAGAAAGGATAATTCTACTTCGTAAGGGTTATAATCCCTAAGTGCGGCCGAAGGTCGCCGACGCAGAAAGAAGTTCTGCGCAAAAATATTTCCGCCGCTCTTTTTTGACAACACCGAAAGGAGAATTCTACTTCGTTAGGGTTATAATAAAAAATTGCTTGTATCCACATCGTGGAACCTCAGCAAACGTGGCGTCTAGTAAGTAATGATTCTCAGTTATACATATGTATGTTGAAATCTTCAGCTTCTATGACAATGTTTTGATAAAAATGCCTTTTATCACTACTCTTGCACATTGCAAATTCTTTTGGTTTGCAAAATTACATGAGGGACTTGGGATTTAGTCGCGTTTTCATTTGGAAATATGTCACTCCTTATATAGTGACATAATCCTAATTTTTAAAATTGGATTTAAGGTGCTTGGAGCTATGTCACGGCACCCCGACAACATTAGCATCATCGATTTGGATAAGGAAGCAAAACAAATAGGTCTGGTGGTAAACGCGGATAAGACGAAGTATCTCCTGTCATCAATCAAACATTCAGCACATTCGTGGCTTGATTGTCACTTTTGAAAGTTATAATTTCGATAAAGTAGAAAATTTCTTTTATTTGAGTCCATTTGAAGAAAAAAATATTATGCGTGTCATCAATTTGATCCAAAGCGGCCTCATTTTTTACATGGAAGGAGAAAAAGACTAATTGCAAGTAAAAACTCTTTTTATCAAATTAGTAAAATATAAAGGCTAAACTACCATTTGGCATAATTCATTATAAGATTGCTGCAGCTTATCTGTTTTTAAAAATTTTTTAAGTCTGCTGTTGCAAAAACGCAACAGTGGTAGGAAGTGGGTTAATAAAATATGTACAAAATTAACAATAAGATAGTTTTTTTTTTGCAAAATCCATAAAGGAATCTTTATATATAAATATGTAACTCTGTATGTTTGCATACATATTATAAGTCACTGTTTTCCTTTCTTTTTTTCAGCGGATGTGGTTAGGGATAGATGGAAATGTTTGCGCTCCGTTTTTGTAAGACGACTGAAACAATTACATATGGGTGAGCTTATCAAACCATATTATTTGCACGAACACATGCAATTCATAACGCCATATTTACAAAATCCGTGGGATGCGGAATCCCGATCAAAACGTCAATTGGAGGAGAGTGAGATGCGTGTCGCTTCCTTTACGCCGGAAACTTCGAAAACTGATATTAATGAGGCTTATTATTCAGATCAAGAAAATGATAATCTATTTTCTATGGATGATGCAACGCAGCAACCACCCACAAGCCGTTCACATAAACGGCAACTCAGGGCGTCACGTACATCCGAAGAAGATGATTTCCATGGTTTCTCCGAATACCACACGAGCACATTGAATGCGTCGACCAAGAACCGGCAAATCAGAGATATTGTTTCAAATCCAACACAAGATCACAACGTAACCGATGATAATTACCATAAAAGGTTGTTTATGTTAAGTTTGCTCCCTGATCTCGAAGAAATGAACAATACGCAAATGCGTGAGTTTAAGACTAAAGTTATATCTATCATAAACGAGATATTTGAAGACGATCTCAAGTTAAATGACGTAAATTAATAATAAAACCCATATTTGTAGTATTCCTTTGAAATGGAATAAGCCTCGAAACTTTAACTGAACAAATAAACTGTGTGATAAAGTTTTTAGATTTTCGAGGTTTTCAGTTTTAGACGCTTAAGGAATCAACTGAATATTTTTCACTGAATGTATTAATAAAAGGAACATAGAACTTAAAAAAGCGGGCCTTTTCACGTTGGCGTTATCGTTTTAGTCGAATTCGCAGTTTATTGAAATGACGAAGAAGTTGTTGTCAATCATTCAGTTCTTAACGACAGATAACGAATGCATCTATGTCGTTACTATCTTCGTTGGAAAATGAAGAACATCGATGGTGCCAAATTGTCGTTTTTATTTCGTTTTTGAAACGACAATGCCAACAGGAGTAGGCCCGAATATCTCTTTGATTAAATCGACTTTGAACCGAGAGCTCTAAAAGAATATTTTCATATAGGTACAAGTACATATCGTCACTAGACACGAATGAAGGCGCGAGCTCAAAAGTTGACGGCGAAAAACGACGCATAAAAAAACTTCAGCGTCAAAGACTCTTAACATACTTCGCCGAAGTTTTTTATAAGCATCTTTTTTCGCAAAATTTTTTTTACGCGCCTTTTTTCGCCGTCAAAACACTAGCGCTCCTTTATTCGCGTGTAGTGACGATATACTGTTTTAATATTCCATTTCTTGGCCAAATTTCAAGGGCAAATCACAAATGTAAACTGTGAAATATGAAAATGTTATTCAAAGTCTAAAATACGAGCACTTATACAAATTTTCAGTAAACAGTATGCCCAGGGTCGGACCAAAGGGAAAGCAGAGCTGGGTGGGTTTAAGAGGAGGAGAGGAATGCCTTCACAAGTCATACAGGTACTGGGTATATCGAAGTCGAGTGTGGATAAGTAGGAGCTTCTACTGCTACAGTATCCAGACCACAGTTGTGTCAAAATTACGCGTGCGTCTCTTCGTCTGCGCTGGATGGTTGTTGAGCTCCGATGACGGTGATTGTCTCTCGGTGAATGGCGTTTTTGGCCTGCTTGCACTTCGTCGAGTTCAGTGGTTGTGCGATGTTAGGCTGGACCTCGTCCTTGAGTTAGCAGAGATGCCTTCTGACGTGCTTAGGATGTGGCTCTGCTTTCAGCCGGTTCCACGTACCGTAATGACTCAAGTACATATTGGCCGACCAGTGGCTATTGTTACGGTAATCTAACCCCTTTTAGATCGACGAACCTTACTGATAATTCCTGGTGAATAAGTGCGTTTAAGTTCCACTTGTTCGACTGTTCCACGATACGATATCGTATCGCACCAGTCTTATCGCATCCGTTTGAGGCTACCTTAAACGTAGTAAGTGGCTTATATGGACCGTATTTACGGGGTGAGTATTACGATATATTCTGATAGCGAGACTGCTTTTATATCTCTATAGTTGGGCTCTTCATAAGCTCGAAATCAAGATTGGAACCGGGAAAAGTATTCTGGCCTACACTATTCTATAATTCAACGGTACCATATCAGTAATAACCATCGAAAAGCAGAGAATTCCTGAACCAGCTGGCAACGCAACGAACTGTAAGTGTAATTTGTATTCCTGTTCTCTAAATTTAGAAACATAGGTAAACGACAGAAAACCAAAAATGCAAACCCATTCTTGAGGAAGTCCTCATTTCTTTGAACTTTTTGTGACTTGTTTTTTCTCGTCAAGTAAGGATCTTTCAAATAGTTATTCTGATAATAAGATAAGGTATCTCTGGGAGACATGGTTATCTACATACACGATTTAATCTAAATTTATGTACTAAACGGCCAATTTAAAATGTCAAGTAAAGCCAAGTCCTTCTACACTCGGTCTCTCCATCGCAGTGGGGGCCTTCATCTTCCTATGCTACCACCAGTGGGTTCTGAGTTTAATACTTTCAGAGCTGGAGCGTCGGAGTCCATTCGAACGACATGGTCAAGCCAGCGGAGCCTAGGGATGAATCGATACAATTAAATCCAAGTACATACTCGATACTTTTCTCAATTTACCAAGTATTTTTGTACTCGATACTTTTTATTGCGATCCAAGTAGGTATCGAAAAAAAGTACTTGTATCGGAAGCGGAATACTTATTATGCTTCAGCATCTTCTATGAAAAGCAACCCATTAGAGGAATGGGAAGATATGCGCACTACATTTCAGCAGCTACACTGAGGGAAAAAAATATTAAAATCAAATAGAAACGTAATTGATCTTACTATAAACGTCAACGAAAGTACTGTATATTGGTAAATATTCAATTCAATTACGCGCATATTAAAATGACCGCGTTCATACCCGAAAAAGCATCCGCGAAGTGAATAATGAAGACAAAAACTAAAAAAAAACAAGTAAGAAAGTCTAAGTTCGGGCGGAGCCGAACATTAAATACCCGGCGCAAGTATTAAATATATGTTTTTCACCTTTCCGAAAGCTACCGCTACATGGTAAACCGGGGTGTATCCATTTGGAGTAAATTAGCGTCCTTAAATTTCGAAATATTGAAGTTTCAAGCATTTCTGAAATTTACTGTTATATGAAAAGCGGCCGTAATTTTAGTTCGATTTCAATAATTTTGAACGTTTTGCTGCTATGTAGCAAGCACAATAACCACACCGGGTTTGGTACAAATTGGTAGAACGGTTACCGGGATACATATATGTGATCATAAGTGGGCGGTGCCACGCCCATTTTCCAAAATTTTATCCTAAACGTATTTCTTGGTAAAGAATTGGTGCAAGCATCAATTTTGAATAAATTAGCTCCAATAATTACTGATTTATCGAAGATTTCGTATTTCTCTAAGTTACCGTTATATGGGATGTGGACGTGGTTATTGTCCGATTTTAAAAATTTTCGGCCATTTCGTATGTTATACCAAGGTTAACAACTGTGCCAAGTTTGGAAGAAATTCGTGCAGCGGTTACCACGATATACACATGTAACCATAAGTGGGCGTGGCTACGCCCATTTTCCAAAAATTTATAATATTCTTATTTTTCGTCTAAAACTTATAGTAAATATCAATTTTGAGTGAATAATCTTCAGTAGTTACTAAAATATCGCAGTTTTCGTATTTCTGAAAATTACCGTTATATGGGAGGTAGGCGTGGTTATTGTCCGATTTTGCCCATTTTCAATACCATCCGTCCTACGCCCGAAAGAAGTGCACATACCAAGTTTCGTTAAGATATCTCAATTTTTGCTCGAGTTATCGTGTGCACAGACGGACGGACGTACGGACGGACGGACGGACGGACAGACAGTCACCGCTTAATCGATTTCATCATTTATGTATACATTTGCCTATATCTATCTCGATTCGTTTTGCCTGTTACAAACAACCGTTATGTGAACAAAGTTATAATACCCTTGTGCACAAGTGCGCTCGGGTATAAAAATTTAATTTGCATGTTGCCTGCAGTGGAATTCGAACCCGACCATCTCCGGATATCACCAACTTGTGGCAAGCATCTTTGCACACTCAGCTGCACCCAGGCATATAAATTTGCTTTCAAATGTAGAATATCCATCAACACCACAGCACGCGATTTGTACTATGTATGTACGTGGGTGTTGTCGTCGCTCTCAGAGCGGCGCTCTGCATGCTTGGGGTGCGTATGTACACTTACATATACATACTCAGATGTGAACAGTCAAATACATGCGTAATAAATTTTGTATGAAAATATTATTTTTAAATACGAACATTTTTAAACGATAATCAAATACAAAGTATTTATTTTTACTATGCATTATTTCCCTCAGTGTACATATATAAGCAAGCCCTTCAATACATAACGGTTGTTGGGTCATCTGTTCGTTGCGAGAGGCTTTTCTCAAAAACAAATGTCGAAACCGCCTTTCAGGAAAACACTTGGAAAAGTTGATGTTTTTTGGGAAATATAACCAAAAAGGAGTTATTTTCTTAAAATTAGCTTTTCTGAAAAAACTTTAGCTATTAATCTTGTAAAAATGTATTCCACTGTTGTTAAAATCAAATACTATTAAAAATAATTGTTGTTTTAATTGTTTTTTATGAAAAAATATTACAAATTAAATAATCTTCCAAAAATGCATATTTTGTATGAAAAAAAACCCAATAACTTTGTAAAATATGCAAAATCGTAGTTCTATGTACAAGTACTCGCTATCTTGCTTTGTTTGGTACTGATTTGAGTAATACCTTGATGGTATCGATTTATCCCTAGCGGAGCCGCTGTAAGTTAATTCGATGCACTATGTCCTAATCGTTGTAAAGCTCAAACAGCTCATCATTCCATCCTCTGCGGTACTTGACGTCGCCAACGCGTAAAGGCCCGTAAATCTACAGCAAAATCTTTCTCTCGAATACTCCAAGAGCCCACTCAATGGATGTTGTCATTTTCCAAGATTTTTGCGCCATATACCAGCATGGGCCCGATGAGTGACTTATAGTGTGGTTTTCGTACGTCGAGGAAGAACTGTACTTCTGAATTGCTTACTCAGTCCAAAGAAGCATTTGTTGCCAAGAGTGATTCTTTCGTTGAATTTCGATACTGTCATTATTATTGGTCCTAAAGCTGACTCCCAAGTAAACACAGGGTTATCACCTGTTTATTTCAAAGTTATTTGAAATATGTCAAGTCGAAGAGCATTAATTAATATTTATTTTGAACATTTGGAATATTTGAAGAGGGCTGCCACGTGTTTAAAAAGTGGTATTTAAATTGTTTAACAAAATGGGTGAATTATTAAAAGATGAGAATCAACCGTAATGGGTTTGTAAGGGCTTTATATCTAAAATATATTTAGGAAGGTAGTGACTTGTTTAAAATATCAAACTCAACTTAAATTAAAACAATTACGTAATTGGAATATGCAACACTATTTGGGTGTCAGGCGAAATAGTTGGAAGAAAGTTTTAATTTGAAATTATTTTAAAGAGTGTTCCCACCTCTTTGAAAATTTCGAATTTAGTTATCTTATACTCGAAGTATTGGAAATATTAAAATATGGGTGTCAAACGAATGAGTGTTAAAAAATCTTGAGTTTGAAAACTAGGAATATGTTTTAGGTGTTTGAAGAGGGTTACCACCTGTTTAAAAAATTAAATGAATTATTAAAATATGTGTATCAATCGAAATGGGTTTCAAAAA